ATCAAACTTCGTTCGGTGCATTGCTGATAAGCGGAAGAGAAGCCATCAAAGTCTCAAAAATGAAAAATGGACAGTCACCAGGTCCTGGTAATATTGTAGCCGAATTGTTAAAGTGTGGAACCCAAAGACTGCGCCGGCGTCTGGCAGAGCTATTTAACCAGTGCTGCCTGTAAAGTAAACTACCCCGAGAATGGCGAGTGGCTCATATAGTGTCCATCTTTAAAAGGGAAATCGTAACGACCCACTTGTTATAGAGGCCTAAACATTAACAGTTCGGTCAGCAGACTTTTTGGAAAGGTGCTACAGGGTAAGCTCAGGGACAGTATTGGTGACAAAATCTTGGAAGACCAAAGCGGATTCACACCGGGGAAATCTTGCACAGATAACCTTTTTGTCCTGTAGCAGGTGATTAAAAAAAAGATAGCAGTGAATCCAAGAGTCCATCTGGCATTTATTGATTTGGAGAAAGCGTACGACTCTATTCCCCTCAGCAAGATATGGGAAGTATTGAATATCTTAGAAATATCTTAGAAGTAGATAAACCCTTGCTTAAGATAATAAAAGGGCTATATAAAGAAAATGAATCGTATGTTAAGATAGGACACAGGCTGTCTAATCCAATTAACACCACAAAAGGGTTGCGACAAGGATGCAGCTTATCTCCTCTAGTCTTCAATGCTTACGTTGAAGTAGCCCTTAAGGAATGGAAGACGAAATGTCAAGGTATAGGAATACCCATTGGGGACAACACACTATTTACCCTGAACTTTGCAGACGATCAGGTCATGATTGCGAAGGACTCTTTCGATCTGGAATTCATGACTAAAGGCTTATCAAGAATACGACAAATGGGGATTTCAGGTTAGTCTAAAGAAGGCCGAATACTTAGCTGTCAATTCCAACGCTTGTTTTGAAGTCTTCATTAATGATAACGTCCAGATTCAACAAGTAGACAAATTTAAATACCTGGGTGCTACTATCAACAACGAGGGTTTGGGCACAGAAGAAATACAAACCCGAATTCAGAAGAGCAAACAAGTTATTGATGTCTTAACAGTCTCTGGTCGGACCGAAACTTATCTGCAACAACTAAAAAGAGGCTTGGAAGAACATTGGTGGAGTCAGTTCTTTGCTATGGTTCAGAGCTGTGGACTCTGGGTGCAGACGCGAAGCGCAAAATCCAAGTTGTTGAAATGGACTACCTAAGAAGAAGTGCAGGTATATCTAGGATGGAAAAAAGACAAACATCGATGTCAGGCGTATCATGAATGCATCGGAGGAGTACAGTACTGGATCGAATCGAAAAAACCAGCTTAAAAATGGTTTGAACATTCTCTGCGTATGCCGGAGAACAGGTGGCCAAAAAAAGCTTTTCAATGGGCTCCCCAGGGCAGAAGAAAGAGAGGTAGACCTAGAAAATCTTGGAACGGAACGGTTACGGAAGCAATGGAAGCTCGTAACCTAGAAGTTGATGACGCTCTAAATCGAGATGTGTGGCGGGTAACGGGAAGGCAGCAATAGGCTGTAGTTGGAAATGAGTGTTAAATACTTAAACCAAATCCTGTTTATATAATATAATAACCCTAAACATTTTGTCTTAAATTTTCAATAAAAGGAAAGTTTTTGTCACAAAACAAATGAGACAATGGACTTTTCGATCGTTGACTCACCCTGTACAATAAAGTTTAATTATTTACATTATTTGTCTCAGAACTTTTTTGCGGGTTATCTGTCCGAACAGGTACTTATCTTGTCTAATTAATCTTAATTTAGAAAAAGTATTATCCCTACTTTCTGAAATAAATGAACATAATAATTCGAACTTATACTGTCCACCTACCATATAAGCGTAAAATGCCTTCGATTCCTAATGAGCTAATTGCTTTACTAACATCTATTAAAAGCTCATCAATTACACTAACTCAACAAGTGCTATGCAAAATAAGACCAGAAAAAAAAGGTTGACAGTGAGTATTTGATTACGTATCGAGTTTCGTGATATAGAAAAAAAGGAGTCGCGTTAGTAAATGACATTAATCAACAGATATCGATCATCTAGAGATATAGCTAATAGATTGTGTACAGTAGTATCACCAAGTCGGGCAATGCTAATTAAGAACTAATAATGTCGTTAGTATAATGAGTAATTCAATTATGGATAACTCTTGATATCGTTTTTTGAACATTTAAACAACATCACAAAAATATAATCAAAAATTTTTATATTTCACTTTAATACAGAACAATGTAAATATAAAAAAAACAAAACATAGATTATTATTTAATAATTTTTGGAGTATCTATTTAAAATTTTATTTTTCAAATTCCTTTTAAACAAGACCTAGTTCTTCTCTTTAGTTTGCAGTGTTATTCTTTTAAGTAATTTTGTTTTCTAGATTCATGTTATCAAATCGTTGGGCAATGTTTTTAAATTGAATATTTATATCATCTTGTTGCTGTTTGAGGTAGTTACTGCTTTTTAAAAAGTCTTCTATATCTCTAAAAGAGGACTGACCATCTTGAATCGACCTTTCTATTTTGCACGGTATTCCCAGTAAGTTGGTACCGTTAAATCGGTACCCTGGAGTGACAGAAGCGTTTTGAGACGTGGCAGTTTGAATAACGTCTTTCAGATCGGCGCAATTCCAGAAATTGTTATCCAGGGAGACATTGGTCAGTTTCTTCATCGAAAACACGTTGATCCAGTTGTTCCTGCTTTCATACTCCACCGTATCCAACAAGTTGTCATCCAGATAGAGTTCCCGCAGATTGATCATATCTTTAAAAGTGTCATGGGACAGCACCGAAATCTGGTTGTGACTGAGATCTAAAACTGTGAGTTCGACAGGATTGAATTGATCAGGTATTTTTGATAACTTCTCGTTATTCAGACTGGTGTTCGAAATGTACAAAGAAGAAATATTGATTCTTTCGGGTGATAATTTAGTTTAGCACGTTGCTACTTAAGTCAACCAGAGATAAACGCAGATATTCGAAAACAGAAGTGGTAATTGTTGTTAAAAGATTATTGTTTAAGTAGATTCTATAACAGGTGATATTGGAAAACGCCAGTATGGACGTAAGATAGTTTATTTTTACTGACGGTACTGCCTCCAGATTTTTTGGGCCTACAAAAGAGTGTTCGGGGAGGATTGCTATACTATTTTCTGATAGATTTATCTTTTTGAGGTTATCTAGTTTAAAGAAAATATTCATAGACAAATTTTACGTTAAGTCATTTCTCAAACTTTCAGAAAATACTGTTTTAATTTAACTTATCAAATTGTTTATTAAACTCACTTGTTGAAAACGAATAAAAAATAAATATCAAGATAAAATGTAAACTATAAATTAATGTGTAATATTGTTTACCTAATCAATGAATAAACATGTACAAAGTCATCAAAAAAATGTCCTACCTGCTGTCGTTTAAACCACAAAATATAATTAATAATATTTTACTTCTTCCTTAATACAGAACAATATAAATATAAAAACATAGTAGATTATTATTTAATAATTTTTGGGGTATCTATGTAAATTTATTTAAATCTTTAAACAAGACCTAGTTCTTCTCTTTGGTTTGCAGTGTTATTTTTCTTATAGGTGATATAACAGAAACAAATCATAACAACGAGAAGGCAAACCTGCAAAATATTGCTGAAAATTACACCAGAGCTGCTTTCTCCAATTTCAGGTTTTTGCTGAGTTAATCTTTCAGCAGGATCGTACAGCTCTTTTGAGGAGGTGTTCATCTTTAAGAAAGTCAATTCTGTTAAATTTTTCATATAGATACTCATTTGACTTAACATATTTTCGATAGAATCAACGGGACTTGCAGTCTGTTTTTGATTTTCAATTGAGTTTTCACGTGTTTGTTCGTATTTCTTCACCTGCAATTGATCGGTATTTGAAATTTTCTCCGGAGTATTACATTTGTAATGTATTGTTTTCCAAATATTTTTTTTTTTAAGATATTTTAATTTTGTTTTCTAGATCCATGTCATCAAATCGTTGGGCAATGTTTTTAAATTGAATATTTATTATCTTGTTGCTGTTTGAGGTAGTTAATGCTTTTTAAAAGTCTTCTATTCTAAAAGAGGACTGACCATCTTGAATCGACGTTTCTATTTTGCACGGTATTCCCAGTAAGTTGGTACCGTTAAATCGGTACCCTGGAGTGACAGAAGCGTTTTGAGACGTGGCAGTTTGAATAACGTCTTTCAGATCGGCGCAATTCCAGAAATTGTTATCCAGCGAGACATTGGTCAGTTTCTTCATCGAAAACACGTTGATCCAGTTGTTCCTGCTTTCATACTCCACCGTATCCAACAAGTTGTCATCCAGATAGAGTTCCCGCAGATTGATCATATCTTTAAAAGTGTCATGGGACAGCACCGAAATCTGGTTGTGACTGAGATCTAAAACTGTGAGTTCGACAGGATTGAATTGATCAGGTATTTTTGATAACTTCTCGTTATTCAGACTGGTGTTCGAAATGTACAAAGAAGAAATATTGATTCTTTCGGGTGATAATTTAGTTTAGCACGTTGCTACTTAAGTCAACCAGAGATAAACGCAGATATTCGAAAACAGAAGTGGTAATTGTTGTTAAAAGATTATTGTTTAAGTAGATTTCCTTGAGTAACAGGTGATATTGGAAAACGCCAGTATGGACGTAAGATAGTTTATTTTTACTGACGGTACTGCCTCCAGATTTTTTGGGCCTACAAAAGAGTGTTCGGGGAGGATTGCTATACTATTTTCTGATAGATTTATCTTTTTGAGGTTATCTAGTTTAAAGAAAAATATTCATAGACAAATTTTACGTTAAGTCATACTTTCTCAAAACTTTCAGAAAATACTGTTTTAATTTAACTTATCAAATTGTTTATTAAACTCACTTGTTGAAAACGAATAAAATAAATATCAAGATAAAATGTAAACTATAAATTAATGTGTAATATTGTTTACCTAATCAATGAATAAACATGTACAAAGTCATCAAAAAAATGTCCTTAAGATTGTCAAGAATTTAAACCACAAAAATATAATCAATAATATTTTAATTTCACTTTAATACAGAACAATATAAATATAAAAAAAAAACATAAAACATAGATTATTATTTAATAATTTTTGGGGTATCTATGTAAAATTTTATTTTTAAAATTCCTTTTAAACAAGACCTAGTTCTTCTCTTTGGTTTGCAGTGTTATTTTTCTTATAGGTGATATAACAGAAACAAATCATAACAACGAGAAGGCAAACCTGCAAAATATTGCTGAAAATTACACCAGAGCTGCTTTCTCCAATTTCAGGTTTTTGCTGAGTTAATCTTTCAGCAGGATCGTACAGCTCTTTTGAGGAGGTGTTCATCTTTAAGAAAGTCAATTCTGTTAAATTTTTCATATAGATACTCATTTGACTTAACATATTTTCGATAGAATCAACGGGACTTGCAGTCTGTTTTTGATTTTCAATTGAGTTTTCACGTGTTTGTTCGTATTTCTTCACCTGCAATTGATCGGTATTTGAAATTTTCTCCGGAGTATTATTATTTGTAATGTGGCTGTTTTCCAAATATTTTTTTAAGATATTTTTAATTTTGTTTTCTAGATCCATGTCATCAAATCGTTGGGCAATGTTTTTAAATTGAATATTTATATTATCTTGTTGCTGTTTGAGGTAGTTAATGCTTTTTAAAAAGTCTTCTATATCTCTAAAAGAGGACTGACCATCTTGAATCGACGTTTCTATTTTGCACGGTATTCCCAGTAAGTTGGTACCGTTAAATCGGTACCCTGGAGTGACAGAAGCGTTTTGAGACGTGGCAGTTTGAATAACGTCTTTCAGATCGGCGCAATTCCAGAAATTGTTATCCAGGGAGACATTGGTCAGTTTCTTCATCGAAAACACGTTGATCCAGTTGTTCCTGCTTTCATACCCCACCGTATCCAACAAGTTATCATCCAGATAGAGTTCCCGCAGATTGATCATATCTTTAAAAGTGTCATGGGACAGCACCGAAATCTTGTTGTGACTGAGATCTAAAACTGTGAGTTCGACAGGATTGAATTGCTCAGGTATTTTTGATAACTTCTCGTTGTTCAGACTGGTGTTCGAAATGTACAAAGAAGAAATATTGATTCTTTCGGGTGTATTATGAATAATTTCGTTTAGAACGTTGCTGCTTAAGTCAACCAGAGATAAACGTAGATTTTCAAAAACAGAAGTGGTGATTGTCGTTAAAAGATTATTGTTTAAGTAGATTTCCTTCAGTGACAGGTGATCTTGGAAAACGCCAGTAGGGACGTAAGATATTTTATTTTTACTGACGTCTACTACTTTCAGATTTTTTGGGCCTACAAAAGAGTGTTCGGGGAGGATTGCTATACTATTTTCGGATAAATTTATCTTTTTGAGGTTATCTAGTTTAAAGAAAATGCCGCCGATGTTTGATATATTATTCTTAGACAAATCTAAGTCGTAAACATTCTGAAACCTTTCAAAAAACGATGGTTTAATTTTATTTATCGAATTATTTAATAAACTAACTTGTTCAAAACGATTGAAATCAATATCGGAAGCACTAAGAATAGGAAGAGAAGAATTGGTAATAATTAATGCAGAGACATAGGAGAGATATCTATTAAAATATACATAATTAACGTCGTGATTTAAGGTTATATTGGAACAAAAATTGGTCGACCTGCTTTCATAGTTATCACTCTTTAGAAGCTTGTAATTTACAGTTCTGTCTTCACATTTCTGTGATTCACTCACATTTAATACTGACAGAATTAACGTGACAAACCATAGGACATGTGACGGTAACATTGTTCCACCTAAAAAAAGGAGAAAATATTAAATTAAGGCATACTTAATAGATTTATTAATAAATCGTTTTTAAGAGAGCGACATGTTTCATAATTCAAAATGTCTATTTCTTGAGCATTTATACTCAAGAATAAATAAATAAATAAATAAATAAATGCCTTTATTGTCAAAATTTTTTTTCAATTTCTAGACAAAGGTAAACTAACAAACAAAGTAAAAAAACAAGGTACACAAACAAACAAACAAAAGATAATACAAAAACATTATACAAAAATATTGTCAGTCTTATTGTTTAAAATAAACATTTATAAATGTTTACAATGTCAAAGAACAAAAAAATAGAAATAATGTTCAAAAATATTTAGTTTGTTTATAGTAAAATATCAATGGCCTCTAAATAAATTTATTTCGAGGTCATTAGTAAATATAGCAATAGCAAACATTAGACCAGTATTTACAAGATCAAATTCGATTTTCAAAATATAATTCATTTACGGCGTAGAAAGCCTTGTCTAGTAAATAAGAGTTCAATGCTTTGCGAAATGAAAAAAATGATGTTATGGATTTGATTTCAAATGGCAGGTGATTGTGCATTTTTTCGAGTTGTATAATATTGAACTTTTAACTAACTCTGAGCGTGGGGTAGGTAGATAAAGATCTTGCTCCGCGTTCCTGAGTGGATAAGTATGAGATGGCCTTTCTTGCGAAGCTATGATACATGCTTACGTATTAGGCAAATGGATTCAAATATAAATCAGGAAGGAAGAGTTAATATACAGGGTTGTTCATCACAAACGACACGGAGTATTGTAGCTAAACGATTAGATTTTTACAAATTGTAAGTTTTGAGGTCGTTGAAGGACTATTGGAGCTACAATTTAAAAATATTTTTACAAGATACAGAGTGTCCCAAATAAATAAAAAATATCAAAGTTGTATTTTTTTAAATGGAACACCCTGTATATTATTTTATTTTTGGATTCTATGATTGAAATAAAGGTAAATTTGGTTAAGGTTTATCACTCTTAAATCTTACAGTTTTTGAAATATTTTCAATTTTGCAGTCAAAATTTTAAGGCTTCATTTCTCCAAGGGTATCAAAGTTTTTAAAACTAAATATTTCCTGAAGTTTAATTATTGATCAGTTATTGTGTTGCAATAATAAAAATAATACTGCCTCATACAGAGTGTCTAAAAATTTATTTAAAATAATTTCTAGCTTTAAACGGCAATAACTTGTTTAATTTAAATGGGACACCCTGTATATTTTAGGAGAATCAGATGCACAATTTAATTGTCCATCAAATTGTATTATACCATTTTTTACCTATACCTTCAAGTTTTCCTAGAAAATGCATTTTCTAATAATTTAGACCTCATTTATTAATATACCCATGGAATATTGACATTTTAGATTGTTTTTAAAGCAACAAATGTACAAAATGTACAGGTGCTAAAAACGATAATATTACCAGCCTATTTTTATACAAAAATAAAACTATTTAAATATTTATAAAAGACTATACCATTAATTAAATATACCACCAGTATTTCCGCCCAAATATTTATTAATTGCATATTTAATTGTGTTAGTTAATAAATTATTCTAAATAAATGGGGATTTAGAATCAGAAATCAATATAATAATAAGTTATGAGATGAACGTCTCTGTTGTTATAAATAAGCATTCGTCAAAAAATAAAATAAAATTTTTAAGGTGTTACTTTTTACCACACTGTCTAATACACATACAAAATTCAGTTTTTAGTATTTCGAGCAATTATTATTAATCAATGCAAGCACTCCATTAATGTAATTTGAATACTGGAATCATATTAATTGGACCTTTTTACAAGTATTTAAACATTTTTTTATTATTTTTTAATGACATAAACGAACTATATTCGTAGAGCCAGCAATAAGCAACCGTTAAGGTTATTTTCATAAAAACTGAGACCGGATCAGAAGAATATTGCACGTCGCTTGGATGGCCAAAATGCCAGTAACAAAGATCGTCTTGTTACAGTAACACTACTGAATTTTGAAGGAACAAGACAGTGCCTTCTATTAAAAGATCAGCCTACGGGCGGACTTTTGTTTACTTCATCAGCTGTACATACTTAGATATTGGGTTAGATTCCGTTTCATATTTTGTCGGTTGATTTTTGGTTTTAACTCTTTGATTTTTGGTATTATTTATTATTGTAGTGCAAAAAACTAATTATTTTAGTGTTGAAGTGACATAAACTACTACCAGATGTATGGTCACTCTCGGTTTCACTTATAAAAAAATAGAAATTTTTAAAAATTACACGTTGTGCAAGTGATTTAACCTAAAGTGCCCATACATTTTTACTTATCAAGTTTTGTGTGTGTTTTTAAGACTCTAACAAATCATCAATAAAGCTTAAGTGGAGTGTGTTATTGGTGCTATGCCTCATCTTTGTTGTGTTTCTGGTGGAAAGGATAGTTACTAAGGATAGTTATTATACTAGGCAGCCTAAAGTGTTCGGAAGAGCAAGAAAAGTGGGTACGAGTTATAAATCAAGAAAATTTTATTGAAAATATCTTTAATAAATTTAAAATAATATTCTCCCATGATGGTATTAGTGAAAACTGGACAATTATGTTTATTTATTCATATTATTGGAATCTCCACTTCAAGTGTTGCTGGTTCAGCTTCGATAGATTCAAACACGTGGGTAGGTATTATGATCTAGGGAAAAATAAAGGATATGTGTATTAGAGATCATGAAAAAGATTATTATTTTGAGTTCAAATTTTAAAAAGATTTTTTGTAAAGACAAGACTGATACAGTTTAAAAGAATGTGTTTTTGTTTGATAATATATAATGTATGTTAAGCATAACATATATTTGTTCAGTAATTTTTTATGAATAGTATTGATTATTTATAATACCAAATTATTATCAAATATTTAAGTGATGGCTGAATACAATATGAATAAAATAACAATAAAATTGGTATATTTGCATAATACAAATTAAGTTTAAGAATAAAGGTGTTACTAAAAATGCTAAGAAATTCATATTTCTTGTTTTAATTGGTCTAATGTTATTTACATTTTACGTAAGAATTGTACCGTATCATCGAAAAAATCGGCGTCTGGATGGCTTGGAAATGAACATCGATGACATTCCCTAAATAACTGTACACACATAAAATAATTAACTAGAATTTTACAATCTTGGAGAATTTGATATTCTTGAACCTTGATTCTAAATATTCTAAATTTTTTGATTTTTTGGAATTTAGGTTCGGTAAAAACGCTGATTGATTTTTCATTTGGTTTTCATTATTTTTATTTGGTTTAAAAAAAACGGTTCAGCTAACATTATAGCCTCCATCAGTGTTGTGTCATATGAAAAAATGGTGTCGAATATAATCAAAAATTGCATATAAAATTCACACCACGCACATAATGTTTACTGCGTACTCCATAGTCAATGTGGATAATTTTAGTGTTAAGAATAATAATTTAAAAATATGTGGTCATCTTTTGATAAGTTTATATTAGTTTATTAATTACAGTAAACATTATGAGGTGTGAATTATATTGCATATGTAATTTTTGGATTATATTTGACCTCGGCCCTATATGACAACAATATAGTTAGCCGAAAACGTTTAAAAATAATGAAAACAAAAGCAACAATCACCGAACCTAAAATCTAAGAGAAAATCAAAATTTTCAAATATTCTTTATATAAAATGCCAGCGATCTTCATTTCATAATCGCTGACGCCTTTTTTTAGATACTATTGTATTATTTGTAAAATATAATTTTTCTTTCGAACATTGATACTTGCAAAATATACATATAAATTTTAATGAATGCAAATAATAATACATCACTATTAGTAGATATTAAATGTTTTTTGTTAAATTAGATCGATTTTCAAACCCCAAAATTTAAAATATTTATTTTACCCATTATCTTATGTACCTATACATTATTTGTGCATTATGGAAACATTTGCTGCATTGTATGGTTCATAGTTTATTTGCCAAAGTATTTATTACTATAAATAGGTATATATGTTGTAGTTATTAACTGTATAGTATGTATATTTCATTTAAACTATATAATTTTTAAAATTCAAACCAAAAATCTGAGGAATAATTATGTTTTCCATGTATTCTACAATATATTTATTAATCCGTTATATCTAACTAGCGTGACGTCATAAATCTCGCCCGTAGGCTGATCTTTTAATAGAAGGCACTGAACAAGATATCAGCGCGACGTTTGAATTTTATTAATTGTCAAATTAGGGTTGCATAAAAATGCTAGATGGGGGCGCTTTACGTTTGACGACAGAGTTTTTGCTCTCTCTCTTCTCAAACAAAGCCCAAAAGCTTACAAATTATTATGAGCAACATTTGTTTTTCCATCATGCAAAACTCTTATGAATTTATTGAATAAAATTCATTTTACTAACAGAATTGTACCAAAAATTATGAGAACTTTACTGATTTCAATACAACAATAATAGAATTGTATTCTTTAGATAAAAACTTGGGTACCTACTAATATTTGATAAAATATCCGTAGAGCCAGCAATAAGCAACCGTTTAGGTTATTTCATAAATAACTTTAAAAATTTGTTACATCTTTAAAAATAATCTAAAATGTCAATATTTCATAGGTATATTGATAATTGAGGTCTAAATTATAAGAAAATGCATTTTCTACGAAAACCTGAAGACATGGGTAAAAATGACATAATATATTTAACCAGACAATTAAATTGTGCATCTGATTCTCATAAAACATACAGATTGTTCCATTTAAATTAAAGAAGTTATTGCCGTTTTAAGAAATTAGTTATTATTTAAAATAAATTTGTGAACTTCTGTATAAGGTAGTATAATTTTTTATTATTGCAACACAAAATTTAGTAAATGAAATACTTCAGTACAATATTTGGTTTTAAAAAACTTAAATACGCCTAGAAATAAAGCATTATAACTATTACCTCAGAATATCTAGCTACGCAACAGAAGCCTCGTTAAGGTGCGTATTCATTATCCGCACGAATGAACGAACGAACGAGCGAATGTTCGCTAGTGGTATGGACGGGGACCGTGCGATAGAACCGCACGAGAAGACCAGAGGCATTTGTTGGCGAACGCCTTTGATGTACCGACTCGAAACGGATGGTCGAGCGGACGAACGAACGAACGGCCGCATGCGTTCGGTCCCCGTCACTTTCATTCGTTCGTTCGTTCTTTCGTTCGTTCGGATAATGTATACGCACCTTTACATGTATAAAATTGTAGGTAGCAAGGAGACAGGCTTTAAAGTCTGTCTCCAAATCAGATATTTGATGTGGTAGTTTCGCTACTACCGAGGGGTAAACCGCAGAGGAATTATGGTGTACACTATGAAGGAATTCTACAGAAATTCCAAGGAATCACGAGGAATTCCAAGGAATTACTAGAATTCGGCGATTTCGTAAATTTCGATGAATTCCAAGGAATTCCATAGGAATTTAAAGAAATTCCACAGGAATTAAGAGGAATTACAAGCAACTTTATAAAGTAACGAACATTAGTAGACCATGAATACTAGAATAGGTAGTGAATTTAAGAAAAACATTTTGCAGGCGATTTTTTACTATCTGTTTTTCGTTTTCGAATCGCTTCCAAATTTCTAATATCAAATATCTACAGGTTAGATATTCTTTTTAATTTAATATTGTACCCTCGATTATATATATCTAAAATATATTCCAATAGTACGGCAGAACCACCCCCGAGAGATCTACTCATAACGTTCCCTGATTTCGCCATTTTAAAGAAACCCTCATAAGATTTTTATTCCTCATTTTATACTCAGAAAGTTGTTTTTTCATTTCCTCGGAATAATACCTAGGTATACTATAGGAAGTGAATTCAGCTTTGGGTGCACCCCTAAATCAATGACACCATGCGTATGCGTCGTCTTATGGAATTTGCTGATGAGTCGTATTATGACGTGCAGCTGAGTTTTATTAATTTCCTTTTTATTTTTTTTTTTTTTTTTTTTTTTTTTAGGAAAATTAATTTTAAATAATCTCGTATAAAAATCACGAGAAAATTCTTTGCGGAACTGCGAAACCGAGGTGGCAACGCTGATTCAGAGTTACAATTCTAGATTACCAATTCTGAGGTATTTGAGTAAAAGGAATTGCGATTGTACGCTTTCCTCCTGCGGTTTTACCCTCGCTCCTACATAATAGAGGGCAATAGGGTTAAAAGAAACAGTTTTCTACAAAACAAAATTTAGAGGCTGTTTTTCAGTTGCCATGTTAGTTTGGAAAATCTTATGAGCTAGAGTACAATCGCAATTTTGATTTTGTATAATTTGGTCTGGGCGCTTTCATTGTAATTCGGCGACAATAGGGCTTAGTATTGTTCTACTTATTAGCAATTACCACTTCTGACGTTCATTCATACCAAGTTCATGACAGCACTTAATCGGGGAAAAAAACGGCGTTACTTGCTGCTGTAAATAGGCATATCACTGTCATTTTTCTGTAAATTTATATGGGAAATGTCAGTCGTCCTTTTCCGGCCAACTGGACGCCGTTTTTTCAAAAGCATATCAAGTGATACCATAGCCTTGAGATGCATGTCATCTGGTACCATAATATTAGTACCATAATGTGGCGTTCGGTGAACTAAATTACAGGATACTCCGTATCTTCCGGTGACAATAGCAACTTATTATGGTACCATGGGCATAAGAGAGGTACATATTACTGACTGCTTGTTATCCCACGTATCTTCCGAGATTTATTGTAATATGATATGCATATAAAAGTGGTACCTTAATATAGTACCATGTTTTAACAAAGTGGTACCTTAATACGCTGGTACCATATTCTGCGATACCATTTCGAACTGACGTTCGATTGTTCTTAAATTAGGTATACTACGGATCTTCAGTGACATTGCAATATTATGGTAGCTTAAAGCATATCAAGTGGTACCATAATATAGTACATAGACTATCATTGCTGGAGTTCGGTGAAGCCCCGAATTTGGTATACTTGCGTTTCTTTATAAAGATTTGTTTAATTTTAATTTATTTTTACAATTTTAATTTATTGTTCGATGTCTTGACAGCAATTTTTATGCCGAACTAATATATTATTAATTGTACCTGTGTCACTTTTTAAAATCTACCTAGGTCTATATATAAATAACGTGGCAAACAGAAGAAATTTATTATTATAGTATTTTTAGTCAGTTAACATTTTTTGCACTGCATTTTAATAAATTATTTCCATTATTATTAAACTTTATATTTTAAATTACTAACGTTCCAGCTTGCATTAATAAATATCACTATCAATCGCCCCTGTATATTATTAATTTTAAAGGTAATTAAGGTATTTTGCCAGTTAACATTATAAGGTATAGTGTATATTAAAAATGTATATGTTTTGTAATAATATACTTAAAACTATTTTAATAGCCAAAGGAATAATTAATATAAGTGTATCAAGAAAAGAAAAGAATAGAAAAGAAACAAATACCGTATACACAATAAAAGAATGGGATGCCAATTCAAGTCTTTTGAATCTGGCAACTGTGCATATTTGGCCGAGCTATAAGGCCGTCGAAGAGCCATCGATCCAAAACCGAAAGACCGAAAGTTCAAAATTTCTAAGTATATTCTGATTATGATATTGTCGCGCCATCTAGTATTCTATTTATGCAATTTTAGCTCTTTCATTTCAGTATTTTTTCTGTTGCGTAGCTATTACCTACTATTATTTTGACAAAAATCTAAATATTATTTCAAAAACGGTAAAAGTTAAAATGCAGTGGAAATCTTATTCAAATTTACCTTTATTTTAATCATTGGAAACTAAAATTTAATAATAATATACAAGGGTGTTCCATTTAAAAAAATACAACTTTGCTATTTTGTAAAAATATTTTCAAATTAGCAAGTAATAGTCCTTCAACAGACCAAAACTTTAATTTTCAAAATCAATAGCTACAATACTCCGCGTCGTATGTGGTGAACTCACTTTCAATCGATCACACGGTATATATTAATTCTAATTCTGATGTAAAATAAAAAATGCGACTTATTTAGTAGGTACTATAATTTGCTGACTAAACTAATATCAAATAATTATAGAAAACAATAAAAATATAACTTACCTTATAATGAAGAAATTCCAATAATAAAGAATATTAAATAGTTCAATTAATTGTGGCTGAATTTGTTAATTTTATTTATACACTTCTTCTCTGAGAATAATAGACATAATACTATTTGTATCGTTATATCAATCACTGAGTGGGACGTAAAATAATTTAAAACGTGTATCCTGCATTTAAATTGCGATAAGAAAGCACACTTCGTTTATGTCGATTCAGATGTTTGTTTGAAAACAAAAGAAATACGAGAAATGTCGAGCTAATCACTATTTTTAAGATACCTCATGATCGAAAAAAAAAACGGCGTCGAAGACGGCAGGGGAATGAAAATCGATGATAATTTTGGCGAGGTCAAGCTAGCCAAGCATTTATTTGACCCGTACTTTTCTTTATTTTTAACGGCGCAGCCAGTGGGCTTTAAGAAACTTTTAAGAAACAGATTTGTGTGTCGGAAACATTCTATTTTATCTTTCTGAGTTTTAGTGTTTATTGTTTGATGACGTTTATGGTAATTTTAGTGAATGATGTCTAGAGATTGACCTCGCCAAAATGATCATCGACTGTTGACTTTTAAAAAAAATCGATTGTAAAATATTTCTAATTAATTTCTAATAATATGATCTTAAAATCATCTAAGAATATATTTACTTAACTATTCCAAACATCAAACATTTTTGCCCCATCCTGTATATTAGTTTATCATTTTAGAAGATGCTAAATTCAGAGCCACAATGTATTTCATAAATAAAACAAGCTTTTTGTAATTGTAGATAGATATATTAAGAAATAAACAAAACATGATAGAAAAACAGCGTCAGCGATGGCTATGAAATGAAGATCGCTGTCATTTGTCATTTTATATGGAAATGTCATCGATCGTCATTTCCCAGCCAACTGGACGCCATTTTTTTCGATCATACGGTACATGATACAATGTCTGTCTATACAAGGTTTATTTGTTCTCTCTGATTCTGATTCACAATAAATTTTTGTTTGTAAATAAAATAGCAAAAATAAGCCAGCATACAAGCAATTGAAGACAATAAAAAAATAGTGAAAATTTCTCCAAAATTGTTATCTTCCTTGTTAAATCTTTCAAGCAACAATTTATCTAATTCAGATAATTGACTATTACTTGTATCGGTATAAGTTGAATTCATTTTTGGTATAATTGAACGAATCTGATTTAATTTTTTTTCGAAATTTGATGCATTAGCTTCACCTGCTTTTTCTTTAGTATCTAATATTGAATTTTGTGTCATCTCTTTTTTGAAATTTTGCAAGTCTTCAATAGCTTTCTTTAAGTTGTTTTGTTGCTCTAAATTCCTGTTATTTTTTTCTATTTCCTTAGTTACGTTTTTGAGAATTTCTAAAGTTGTCTGATTTCGAGTAGATTCAAGCTGGGTTATTCGTTTGGACATATTTTCAATTTTACTTCCAAGCTTCATGGTATCATTCTCCTTCTTCTTCATGTCCACCACTACGTCATCGACGTTCTTTAACAACCTTTCCAAAATTTGACTTATATTTTCATTGAAATTTGTGTCTGCCAATGTTCCTTTCGAGAGACTGATATTATATTTTTGGTCATTTATTCTACAACGTATACCCAACATATTGCTTTCGTTAAAATGATTTCCACGAGCTACATATACTTGCTTTGCTGTGAGAATATGTAGAACTTCTTTTAAATCATGACAATTCCACATGTTGTTGTCTAAGGAAACGTTTCTCAATCGTGGCATTGTGTTGAATATATTAAACCAGCTATTCTTAGAATAATCTTCCACTGAATCTAACAAATTGTCGTTTATATATAACACTGTAAGGTTACTCATATTTTTAAATGTTTGAAAATATAACGATGAAATGTTGTTAAAGCTAACGTCCAATTCTTCTAGAACAGAAGAGTTAAAGAACTGAGAAAAGCTTAGCAATTTTTCGTTTCCTAAAGTTGTATTTGACATATATAAACATTTTACTTTTATACTCTGTGTAGATGTAATTAATTCCTGAAGTTTATTACCATTTAAGTTAAAGAAAGATAGGTCTAAATTCTTGAAGACATCCGTGCTTAATGTTGTTATTAAATTATTGTTAAGGTAAAGTTTCCGGAGTGATCTTTGAGAATAAAAAATGTTTGAAGGTAAAAATACAATCCTATTCTCGCTCAAATCTAATATTTTCAAATGATCTATGCCTAATAACAAATGTCCATCTATATCGTTTAAAACGTTTTGAGATAAATTCAGTTTTTCAAGGTTATTTAGTTTGTAGAATAGTCCACCATTTATCTGAGAAATGTTATTTCTAGCCAGGTTTAAGTCTCTAAGTTGAGGACAGGAATTGAAAAATGTAGGATCAATGTCCGTAATCAAATCGTTAGTCAGACTTAATATTTTCATAATTTCAGTTGTCTGGAATGGTAGCAGTACTGAAATATTTACGTTTGATATATATAATACCCCAATTTGTCCGTATCTGTTTCTCAGCATATTTGTTATAGACGCAAAATTATTCGAATTTATATATGTACAATTTACTTCTTGAATAGAGTAGAAAATATCCCAAGCCATAGGCCTGGCTTCGCAGTTATGGTCCTTGGGAAGTTCTGCCTTATTCGAACACACCCATAAGAGTATAATTGTGAACGACCAAAACTTTTTCATTGTGTAACCCTGTAAATAATAACAACAGTTATAATGTAGTAAAACTATTATTCAGCAACATATTAAGTTATAGTAATCTCAAAGTAGTTAATGTGGTTTTTTCAAATAAAATTTAGATTTACAGTTTAGTACGTTTCGACAAATATTTTGTGTTCTTTTGTGTTAAATTACACCAATAAAAACTTCTTCGTCACATTCCTTAAATATATTTTCACACAAGAAATACATCACCGTTCTACCGTATGATCCTTGTTTATACAGGGTGTTTCAAATCAAATGCGAAAAACTTCAGGGGGTGATTCCTTGTTCAAAATAAAGGGTAGCTTGCTTCATAAACGTTGGGTCAAAAGTCAACCATTAGGGAGATATCGCGGTTTAAAGATGGCGGAAAAATAAGGTTTTTATTTTTTATCTTGAAAACGAAAAGAGATAGACTAATAAAATTTTATGGAAGCATTACTGTTATGAAAACACACTTTCTGGTAAGTTTTTCACTTTTTTAAAATGAGTGGAAGGGGTTGAAATAAACTACCCCTATCATTCTTGTTAACGAAATTTAAAGAAAAATCTTATCAAACACATGCAAAAAAATTAATTTGGATAGATTAGTTTGTTTAGAAACTTTTTTATCTCTTGTATTTTTTTGATAAAACTCACCGATTTGAAATTAAAAAATAAAATGTAAAGCATTACATGCCAGGACAAAAAACATTTTCTCATAAAGAATCTAGTGGGCTGCTGTAATTTTTTTAGGAAAAAAATCTAGTCGGCCGCTGTTACTTTAGGATGTTCCTAATATTATTTTATTTGACATTACTCTACTGCAATACGTTATTATCTAGATGATTATAATTATCGTTATTATCACTAGATTCTTAATCTAAAATGTTTTTTGTCCTGACATGTAATGCTTTACATTTTATTTTTTAATTTCCAATCGGTGAGTTTTATCAAAAAAACACAAGAGGTAAAAAAGTTTCTAAACAAACTAAACTATCGAAATTAATTTTTGCATGTGTTTGATAAAATTTTTCTTTAAACTTCGTTAACAAGAATGATAGGGGTAGTTTATTTCAACCCCTTCCACTCATTTTAAAAAAGTGAAAAAATTACAAGAAAGTGTGTTTTCATAACAGTAATGCTTCCATAAAATTTCATTAGTCTGTCTCTTTTCGTTTTCAAGATAAAAAATAAAAACATTATTTTTTCGCCATCTTTGTACCGCGATATCTCCCTAATGGTTGACTTTTGACCAAACCTTTATAAAGCAAACTACCCTTTATTTTGAACAAGGAATCACCCCCTAAAGTTTTTCGCCTTTGGTTTGAAACACCCTGTATATTCTTAAAGTTGATCAACCGACTAGACAAAATGTGCTGCCAACTGGAGGACAAATCGTGAACCTTTCGGGGCGGAGTCAAAAATATCGATATTTTCCTCAGAGTAATGTAATAATATAGCCCCGGGTTTCTGCGAACTTTAATAGTGATCAGCTGATTAAGAAATTTAAACGAAACTTTTATTTTATTGTAAATTGTGGATTATTTTTGCCTGTTATTTTAAGAATTCTAAACCGTATTAACAAAGAAATTATTATTTCGATATGTTGGTACATTATTTATAATTTATGATAATGCTAATTGCTGTTAATTAATATTTAAAAAAAAAGTTACGTACCTATTTTAATTTGATTTAATGCAGGTTTATAAAAGAATCATTTTCGTTCTTAGATTATTTTATTCTAAATTGAGTGCTTTACAAATTTTACTATATTTTTTTTTGAAAACATAAAACTTTTTACATTTTTCATGCCAACTAATTGGCATGGTATTATTGGTATGGGAATTAGCCAAGAAAGAAAAGAATTGGCTATAACTTGTAATTTTTCGAAAAAAACATATTATACCTATATTGCTGAAAAACTTAAAGAATGGCGCTTTTTATGAAGTCATGGTCAACTAGGGTTTCCATTTAAAAAAAAAAACATAATGTTTGTGTCATATGTCAAAAATTTTTTTACAGGTTTTAGAAAAAAAAAACAGAAAACACAAACTCATTAGGTATGTGATTATACTATAACTTTTATCTGAAAACTTTTTGTCTAAAATACCGTCTGATCGAATAAAAACGACGTCAGCGATGGCTATGAAATGACGATCGATGATAATATTTCCCATATAATTTTACATATAAAATGACAACGATCATGATTTCATAGCCATCGTTGACGCTGTTTTTATTCGCTCATACGGTAGATTATAATGGAATTAGAGACAAGTTTTAAAATAGCCAAAATTTGTTTTTTTCGAAATATGTAGTAAGCCTTGAACTTCTCCGAAAAATCCGAAAGGCGCATATTTATGACCCCACAAAACTGCGATTCTTTCCCCATTTAACCGACTCTCTATCTCCAGTAGTTTCCGAAATACTCATAGAGAACATCGTAGGCCAACTCACCCTGTATAATATTTAGAAACCAACTATTATTATTATTTGACTAGATTAATTTGATTAATAAGACTCGATTAATTTAATTTAAAATAAATTTGATCAGATTTTTTTTCGTATATTCTACTACTAGACAACAAAAATTATATGATAACGCACTTTTCAACGAAGTTGAAGGAAGTTATAGTGTATCTATCACAATGACAATACTTAATAGAATTACTACAATTAGAAGAAAAACAAAAAGAACAAAATACCCAAATACCTTCACCTACTACTCATCTACAAAATAAACGAATATAATCTCTTATAAAAACACTACACAACTACTTCTTGTATTTTACACTGAAAAAATGATCAAACTTACTAATTAACCAAACAAAAAGAAAAAATAACCAAATTATACCTTCACCTACTACTTAACTACAAAATAATAAACTATAAAAACACTACTAAACTATTCCTGGTATTCTACACTAAACATTATAATTAAACTTAATAAAATTAATCTAATTTTACACTACAACCATTCAGTTCACAAATAAACTTATAAATATTACTGTCAAGGTGTATTACTGGTTGCATAACTGCATACTGCTAAAAAAATCGCAACGTCCATTGAGGAACCTGGCGCCATTCGCCAGAAAGTAAAGAAAATAATAGAATTCTTTAGAAAAATCTAGAAACAACCGCCAGGGGGTATATAAGGCCCGCGCTTTGACAGTTGAAAAAAAGTTTAAAAGTTTAAAGTTTGAAGTTTAAAGTTTGAAGTTTGAAGTCTGAAGATAGTTTGAAGTTTGAAAATACCGCGAAATACCGTTAGAGTAATAGTAGTTGCATAAGTTGTGTTGTAAATAGTATAAGTTGTGTGTACAGAGTGAAACAAATAAATTCGTTAAGTATTTTATCGTGAGTTTAAATAGTGGACCCACGGAATCCGTAACATTACTATAACAAAACTAAAAAAAAATCAATTTTTTAAATGGAAACAGCCATTTTTTCTTCTTTTTAGATTATTTGTCGTAAAAAAATACTGTTTGAAGTTTTAAGTGGTCAAAATCGATATGTAAAAAATAATATATCTCTATCAAAATAATTACCCTGTATATGGTGTGGTGCCACACTATACAGGGTGGCGCAACTCATTCGCCTCGGTTGATTATACGAAAACGGAAAGATATAGAAACAAAATATTTTATGTGTATATGTGGAAAGGGAATGTGCATAATTTAAAATTATTTTCAAATGTACAGGGTGTAAAATAAATATTTAAAATAGCCCAGCAATTTTTGATACCCCTGTATACATTTAAGGAAGCAATAACATTTTTTAGTAAAATTTATTTCTCTGAGTTCAAAGTCAGCACAAGAATTAACTCTGAAAATTAATGTACAGGGTGTTGAGAAACTTTTTTATTATAGCATGCATATTTAAATATCTTTAAATATCTCAAAGACCAAAGCATTTAAACATATTAAACCCTTATATCAAATGCCTTATTTTATACCCAAGAATCCAAAAATTAAACAATATACAGGGTGTTCCATAAGAAAAAAAATAACTTTGGTATGGATCTTAGTTCTGACACACCCTGTACGTTTGAAAATAATTTAAATTATGCACATTCCCTTTCCACATATACACATAAAATATTTTGTTTGTACATCTATCCGTTTTAAATAGGTGCAAATATTTTAGAGTTAGTATACTTCGACCCCAGATCTCATAGACCAACACGTCTATGAGATTTTTTTTGCGAAAAACAAAAATTATTTTAAAAATATGGAATTTTCTGATAATTTTTTAAAATTTTTTAGTTAAAAAACATAAAATCTTCATAATATGGCAATATATGTAGTAGATTAAATTTACAAGCACCCTGTTTTAAAAGAAAGAACATCATATAAAATAAAAACAAAAATAAGAATCAAACGTATTTTTTCGGACCGTACCATATACAGGGTGTTTTAAATAAGTCCAAATATTTTTAGAACAGAAACGCGATTATGAGTTTTTTCGTGAACAAAAAATTTGGAATTTTTTGAAAATAATTTTCGATTTTTTTTTAGTTTTTAGTTAAAAACATAATAATCTTGATAATATGGCAACATAGGGAGTAGAATAATTTTACAAGAAAGAAAACCCAGAAAAGATCCCGTTGTTCTTAAAATTTAATGGAAATATATATCACAATCATTATCAAGCAAATTCATTCAGTTTTTTTTAATATACTTTTGTTTGGAAAGCTTATTTTTTTGTTAGATATTAATTTCTGATAAATTTGTATGTCAATTTTTAATGATCCAATAAAAATTATCATTAATTGTCGTTTCAATTGACACTATGACGCCGTTTTTTTATATTATATGTTTTGTATATTGATTTTAATTATTTTGCGACTATATTTTAAAATATCGACATATATTTTTTAATCTAAATATTGAAATAAGCACGTTGTAATCGAAAAAAAGGCGTCAAGTTGGGTAGAAAATGACTTATCGATAACGTTCACCAAATAATTTTACATAGGCATAAAATGACAGCCATACTCATTTTCAAGCCCACTCTTACGCCGATTTTTCTTGTTTGTATGGTATTTAATTTTCGATTTCATTGTGATTCTTAATACAAATTAATCTTAAAGTTCTGAAGTAGATACGATATGATCAAAAATTTAATAACCAAGCATGTTGTTGTATGATGACAGAAAAAACCTAAGGAAATTTTTAATCGATCACACGGTACATTTTAATTCTAATAGTGACGTAAACGACTTCTTTATTACTACAATTTGCTGACTAAACTAATATCAAATAAACATTTATAGAATTAACTTTAACTTTAATTAGAAGAACAATTATAGAATACAATAAAAATATAAAATATACCTTACCTTATAATGAAGTAATTCCAATAAAAAATAATATTTAACAGATCAATTAATTATGGCTGAATTTGTTAATTTTATTTATATACTTCTTCTCTGAGAGTAATAGACATAATACTATTTGTATTGTTATAATATTAATCACTTTGTGGGATGTAAAATAATTTAAAACGTGTATCCTGCATTTAAATTGCGATAAGAAAGCACACTTCGTTTATGTCGAGTCAGATGTTTGTTTAAAAACAAAAAAAAACGACAAATGTCGAGCTAATCATTATTTTTAAGGTATCCCACGATCGAAAAAAAAACGGCGTCGAAGACGGCAGGGAATGAAAATCGATGATATTTTTGGCGAGGTGAAGCCCTAGACGTGATTTACTTGGCCCGTACTTTTCTTTATTTTTTAACGGCACTTACAGCCAGTAGGCTATAAGAAACTTTTAGAAATAGATTTGTGTGTCTGGACCATAGACTTAAAATAAAATATAGACTCAGCATCTCATTCATAAATAGCTGGAACATGCGGTCAGACAATGTCTTGTTATTGTTGTGTTATTGTTTTAGGTTATAACGAGTGCGACACGAGCGATAGATAGGTTGTCTCTGTCGTAACGGTCGTTCCCTGACGACTCTGCCGAGAAACACAACACTGTCTTTCGTTTCTCAAGTACAACTGAACTCTCTGTATCATAGCCGGGTAATTTTTTTATTTTA